ATGTTCACAGTGACGTGATCTGGGAGCTTCATTCAGACGAAGTCAGACTCCCAATCAGTCAAACCATCTCCACGACATGTACATAGACTTTATCCCATCGTGTAGTTTGCATTTGAAGAGATTTCCCAACAGTTCAAACTCCAAGGTTTGAGATTGAGGGTCATAAAGTCTCTCTAAATGTTATCACATTCATTAGGATTCATTCTATCACATTGTCTCTTCAACCTAGTTGACATAGAGGACAACACGACATATTACACTAAAATTTTATCATCCTAATTCTTCTTATGGGTATCATGGTCAACCGTATAGTACCCAGAAAAAGTCTTATTAGGTACGGTGAGCACCTTTGTGTCAAACGCATATTCAACTCGTTTTTACCACAACAACAACCACAAAAGATGCAGTCAATCCAGATAATTCGGTCAAGTCAACTTATTCGTTTCCATCAAACATATCAATGATAAATTCAAAATTCTATTCAACCTAGAGAAACATATACAACAGGAATATAAAACAACTTGATCACATTTGTTAACTAAATTAATATGACTTTTAATTAATTTAGCTCCCACTATTTTCACATGCTCTACGACCCCATCAGAAGAGTACGAACTCATATCAAATATAGTCATAGTGAGCCAAGATCCACATCCATAATATTATAGTCCCAGCTGGGGTTGATCACTATAATGGATGTAGTGGTAGGTCTCTAAACCAATTGTAAACAATCACAACTCTTGGTTGATCAAATCTAATTTGATCGACGTCCTTAGATCATTCCGACGCTAGGGCGACAAGAATTAGCTGAGTAAGTCAAAACCATCACACGATCACAAACCTATGTATCTATGAATGAGTCTGAGCCTCGTAGACCTAAGCAAACACTAGGGTGTAAATACTGTTGGACGAAGAGGTTTTTGCACTCATTCAATTGTGATGGGTGACGTTGTGCATCTAAGATGAGTCTTATATTTATTAGGGGAACATTTTGAACGGGGTATTAAATATCTAATATTCAAACAAGATCTCAACTAATATCACATATCGGGCGCCGCCTACCCGAGCATAATATAACGCGGTCCACAAATACTGGGCGTCGCCAACCCAGACAATATAATCGCGGATGCTAACTAAAATAAATAAACTATTTAATTTATTTCAATTAGACAAATAGGAGCACATAATCCAATTATCATGCATTTTTAATATTCCAAACACATAAGATAATAACAATATGTATTCAAAATACATATAAGTAATCTAATTACCCATGTATATATTCAAAATATATACAAGTAAATAATCTAATTACTCATTAATTTATGTGGTTCTAAACACATATAACTATTATGTATTGAAAATACATAAGCCAAGCTAATTTATGGATCAAAATAATGTGCTAAAATGTTCATCAAAATTTCTAAAACTTTGAATTGTTAAACAAGCTCGAAGTTTCGTTTTGTTCATTAAATATTTCAAAAATATTTAAGTCATATGATAATAGTTTTTAGTTTGAAATATACTCCAAGGACTAATTTCAATTTTAGGGATTTTTCAGAAATTTAAAACAAGCAAAAATACTAATTATTTCAACTTTTTCAAAATTCTGAAATTTGAACACAGCCAAACAGTCCTTAGTTCTTTTCAGAAATAACAAACAGGCCCTAGGCCAATTTCAGATATTACACACATGCCCAGACAAGTTTTCAATATTACGAATTGACCCCAGGGGTCAAATTGGAATAAATTGAAGTTTCATAAATTTCAAATCCCTCCCTACATATTATCAAATTTTCGGAAGAAGGTCCTTGCACATTCAAAAACGTTTTTCACGTCAGTTCAACCCTTGTCCGCCGCCGACTCGCGCCTGACCTCCGGCAAGCCATCGCCGCCCCAGGCCGGCGGCTCCTCGCCGGAGTCCGAATTTTTTTGTTTTTAAATATGCGTCCGCCATTAATGGCGGACCTTCGAGCTCCAAGCTTGGTTTTCCGGTGTCCAGCCACAGAGACGCCGAGTGCAACAGTGGCGGGAGGGACGATGGCCGACGGTACGGGATTCTAAATCTCAGATTTCCTTCCGGTGTCCAACAGTTCAACCCTTGTCCGCCGCTGACTCGCGCCTGACCTCCGGCAAGCCATCGCCGCCCCAGGCCGGAGGCTCCTCGTCGGAATCCCAATTTTTTTTTTTTAAATATGCGTCCGCCATTAATGGCGGACCTTCGAGCTCCAAGCTTGGTTTTCCGGTGTCCAGCCACAGAGACGCCGAGCGCAACAGTGGCGGGAGGCCGATGGCCGACGGTACGGGATTCCAAATCCCAGATTTCCTTCCCCCCCTTTTTTTTTATTACAGTCGGCCGTCGGGGGCCCTAGGCCGAGAAGATACCGGCGTTCAGCCGCAGCGGCAACAATCGCCGGCAGCAGCGTGATGTCGAGCAGAGGGAATTCGGTGATAGTGCCATGTGCGGGAGATTCCAATACCTAGATTTTGTATGTGTTGTTCCGAACAGAACCAAAACACGATCCCAAATCAGTTTCTTAATTACAGTTTAATTATAATTAAAACCAGTACTGTGTAGGAATTCCAATTCCCAGATCTGGTGAACAACAATTCCCAGAATTTCGTACGCAGTTTCAGCGCAGCAACGCAAACAGAAAGAATGAATTCCAAATTCTTTTCTTAATTCTAGTTTAATTAACATAAACAATTTAATTAAACTAAAACATAATTAGCAGATTCCAAATCCCAGGCAGATTCAACCGAATTGAATTCCAAATTTTGATATGTGCAGATTCGTTCGAACAGAAGTGCAGCAACTCAAAAAATCTTAACGAAGATTAATTCCAAATTAATTATCTTAACACATATTTTGATCCATATAAAATCCAATTTAAAGTCGAATAGCTATAAACACCGACCCGATGCTCTGATACCACTATTGGATTTTCGACGTACCAATCAATCGCACGTGCAGCGGAATTTTAAAATTTTTCTTACCAACAACGAAGATCCGGTTATAGCTATTCGATATGATCCTAGATCGCTTAAATGATACATGAAAACTTACAGTTATTCGTCTTTTGTCGTCGACTATGGTATTCACGCAATCCAGTTTTCTGGTGCACGATCTAACGCCAATGAATCCCTTCCGGTGAAGAAGCTAAGAATCCTCGATCCAGAAAGCTAGAGAGTGTTTTATTTTACGATGTGTCTCTCATCTTCTCTCATCTAATGATTCGATCTAATCGATTAAGATTATGAATGAGATAATGAGATATTTATAATTAGGTCAAACCTAATCATATGGCCTTAGGAAACCCTATAGCCCAATAGGTAATTGGACCTAATCCAATTAATAATTTAATTTAACTTAATTAATTATTTTTCAATTAATAATTTAATTAAGTGTAAATCCAATTTAACTTAATTAAATATTTTCCATCAAATAGAAAATAATCTCATTACTCAAAAATAAATATTTCAATCCAATTGAATATTTAACACTCTCGATTCACTCTTAACCAAAAAACCGATTGCATATTGTGTGGCCCTATAGGCCTTCATATATTGACATAAATCTAATTTATGATCCTTACGAAACTCCTAGAATGCATCGAAGGACGAACTCAAAATATAAAGTACGTTTACATGGACAAGCAAACAAACCTTTCGTGTAGAACTCAATAGTGATACGGTCCCTTCATTCACGAACCACTCGATTAAGCTTAGGATTTGAACGTGTGTCTATCCAAACAGCTTAATCATTTTATCTCATCTCACTGGTTGATTTTATCAATTATATTTGAACACTATTTCAAATATAATCACGTGCATTGGCCAATGAGATTATCAACCCAGTATAGAGAAAACGAGTATTCTTTCGAAACTATATTCGAGGAATGAATCCTATCTTGGCTCAACTACCAATTCCATGTATATCAACTACAAGAAATCTGCCAAAAAGTGACGAAATTCATATGACGAAAAAAGAATCGTCACCGTATGTTGCCTTATGGTGACGAATTTAACAAATCGTCATTACACCATTGCATACGGCCACGACTCCTATATTCGTCATTTTAGAATTCTTTTTTCGTCACATAATGAAATTTTTCATGACAATGCACCTCAATTCGTCACCTATACGTCTAAACTCGTCACATGTATATAAAATATGACGAAATTAAATGTGACAAGCAAAGTGTCGTCACTGTTGATGCTATTTAAAATGACGCTTACGACTAATTGGTCATTATATAATTTTGTTTTGTGATGATAAATTATAATACATCTAAATTCGTCACATTAATACATATTATGACGAAAGTCACTGTGACGAATCAAAATCGTTGTGTTTTTATAGTATTTAAAATGACGCTTACGTATAATTCGTCATCATATAACTTTCTTTTGTCACGATACGTTATAATACATCTATTTTGTCACAATAGTACATACCGTGACGAAATTCACTGTGACGCTAGAATCGTTGTTTTTATTTGTATTTAAAATGACACTCACGTATAATTCGTCATTATATAACTTTGCTTTGTGACGAATTTTTTTCATAAGTGGTTTAGTAACCATCACAAAATTTATCTTTGTCATCAAAATATGCCCTTTTATAACGTCTTCTATTTTTGTCACTAATAGCTTATATTGTGTTACGACATTATTTGTCACAAACATCATTTGTCGTATTTATTGTTATATAATAGTCACACTTTGTCACTATAAAAGACAAAAGGTGAATAATTAGCTCATACGAAATATGCAATATAACAAGAGTTCCATTTCAAGCCAGCGTCTATTCATGGGACATAGTTCAACAATCTACATCTGTATTATGTCAACTACACAGATAAGCATTTGGCATCAACCACCCTAGTTTTACATCTTAAACATATCAAAGACAAGCATTTGAAAATCCTCTTTATAACACATTAGTCTACAAAAATCAGCGTGGTGGCAACTTGGTCTAATCAACCTCTACATCTGCTTCACCATTGTGCCTTGAACTCGTCTAATCTCATACCTGGAAAAAAATATTTGTGTTTCGTAACCTTGTCACATCCTTAACGTAGGTACCTATACTGCAATACTAAACCAGCCATTCAAGTTTTTAGATAAATAAATATTAATATACCTCCATCAACCACCAAACGATGTCGATGCATATGTAGAACATGCTCTGAGATCTGACGATCAATCCCATGATCCATCTGATCCAAGAAGATGAACAGAAGTTCAAAACGAGAAGGAAAAGACTCTGAAAACCCACTATTCTTTGTCGGGGTTACCGAACGGTGATACTCTACAGTAAATATATATAATTATGGTTACATAAAAATGACAATCTTGTGTTGCTTAAATTTTCTAATAAGCATTCGATAGAAACTTACGCTTCCATATGTTGGATTTGCTGCTGCAATGACACTGTACCGAACATTCAAGGAAAAGTCTCTATAAGCGCCGTATCTAACATACTCTAGAAAGTATGTAAAAATAATTCTTTATAAGGGAGAGTGATAGGCAGCCTTATAAGAATTAAAGGTGATACCTTTAAGCATCCCCATTTCGACTATGGCCACCTATTGGGATCCGCGTCTTCAATTCCGACAATAGTTCCAGTTTCACTACAGAATCAACATGTCATTAAATTAACAATGTAATTATGCTAGGTATTTACTAATCATAGAACATCAATATTCAAGTTGATGAGATACTCTCTACCTCTGTTCTGGAGCTGCTTCTCCTTCAAACCTCATTTTGAATCTCATTCCTATTGAATAGTTGTTTTTAACAGACTCCATGTACTGATCATAGGGGAATATAAAGTGAGCAGGTCCTGCAACATACATACAAACAAGATTATTAACAAGCTACTTATTCTGTATAATGCTAGGACCATATTATTAACAAGCAACTTATTCTGCATAGTCCCGCTACAGAAATGAAAGGAATTTTAGATGTAATCTACTATAAGCACCCGATTGTAATAAAAAAAACTGAAAGATCAACTAGGGTTTAGGATCTCACTAAACTGAGAATTTCAAAACTGGAATTACTTAATTACCTTCTTTTTTAGCTGCCAACAGACAGTAGTAGTCCTCCGGTGTGAACTCGTAAAAGTCATCCATCTCCCCAAGCTCAGATAATATGTAGTTCACACCATCGTCTTCATTGCAATGGCCCAGAATGAAGTTCATCTCCAACATTAGCATGCTGACTCCCTTGGTTACTTGAGATTGGTTCACTGTGATAAAACCATGTGACGTTGTATCTATCCCATGCATCAAAATGTGACTTTTAACAGTCTTTTTTTTATCTTCAATAGATAAGTTCAAGCAGTTCAAGCAGCCTGTACATGGACACTGAATCTCGCATTCCTTTCCTTTCCCAAATGAGTTTTTACAATTCTCATAAAAGTGTTTACCCTATCTATGTAAGCTTTTTGACCATTTGATAGCCCGCATCCAACTCTTACCCATTCTCTATCCCTACATAAAAGAGATGAATGAAAAAATCGTTTCAGTATCAACAAGATGAATTAAAAAATAAATAAATAAATAAAAAAACGTTACATCCAATCCCAGCCCATTTCTTCCTGTAGTACTTAGAAACTCTCCATATCTATACATTTTCATCTGTTCTGGCCTTTGTCATTTCGCTTTTGTTATTGGAATAATAGATATCTAAAACTTAACTATCACATGTTGATATTGGGTGACGTGGCATATTATACATGCAAACTCAATTTTGGTAAGCACCATATTTGGAAAATAATTAATTTTGTAATTATATTGTATTTATAGAAATGTATGAATAACTTCATAAAATCGTATCAGAAGCTGACTTTATCTAGTTAATATTTTCTAAATTGAGTAGACTATATTTAAAGTTACAAATTTAAGAGAAAGTTTTGTACAGTAAAAATATTTCAAAATGGTCAGCAACCTATTGGAAAGAATGTTTGCAACCAACTCTTTCAAAACTTTAAGAGAAATGTTTTGACCATTTGATAGCCCCCCATCCAACTCTTATCCATTTTCTGTTCCTACATATAAGATAATGAAAGAGATTTACTCCTATTTACGGATGTAAATGAAGCGAGTTGCTCAAGAAATATTTAGAACCAGGGCTCATGATTGGTTATAGTAAATGAGTTGAAGCCAAGGTTAACAATATTTGGTTCGTTAACTCTTGAACAAGCCTGTGAGAGGACTCGTAACAAGCTCGCCAAAAAGCTCAATTAAGTTAACCTAATAATTCAACATCAATTCTAATTTCTTTACATGTAAATAGAAAATAATTTAAGTGTTCTTTCTTGTAACATATTGATATATCAGTCAACTTTGTAGGTGAATGGAGGTCACTTTACAGAATACAGACTTGCAGTGATGTTATCAGCTGCCTTGTCCCGACTCCATCTCTTCCCACTGTTTGTAGTTTTCAACAGAACTCCACTGCGACCAAGAGCCCAAGCCTCCTACTATAGTCACATCAACCAGCAACCAGATGAATGAGAAAGTTTTTTTTACTTGAAGTCATCATCTTGCTATAATATGCTAAACTGAATTGTAAACTTTAATATCTACATTGTTCTAAACTGAAACATGAACTTTAATATCTATAATGTGCTAGAATGAATTATATACTTGAATATCTATTCAGAATTGTGGTGGCCACTTCTCCTTAGGAAGCACGAAAAGATTGAGGAACAAGCAGAAAAACAATAAAATACTGTGACCTATATCTATAATTGAATTGATGTTCTTTACTTCCACATTAAAAAAGTAAGTTGGTGGTGATTTTATTGCATCACAACTATGAGTCATACAGTACAAAGTCAACTTATTTTAAAAGCAATATACCTCTTTCAGAAAACTCAGATACTTGCATTGGTTCAAAATATCACACAAACAGACTTGGTGAGTGAAATATCATTCTTCTCCATTTATATAATATTTTCCTCTCCATAGTAAACTAAAGAAGGTCATTGTTGATTTGTTTCTTGAAATAAAAGTGAGTTCTTTTGTACTTTATATCCAATTTCACCAGTTGAATTAGTAACTAACTAAAATATTTCTTAAGATCTGACAACGAGAAATGTCTGAAAACTGGCTATTTTGAAGGTTTAAGGTAAAAACATTACAGAAAGTGTAGTGGCACAAACTCAAGAGTGATGACCGGTCTGGGCAAAAGAACCAAGTCAGAACAACCTCAATTTTTGTTTCGATTGGTCTTTGGAATGAAGATAGGTCTGGACAACACCTAAGCGGGCTGATTTTTATTCAAATAATCTTAATAGATGGGAGATCTTCTCACCTGAAACTCCCCAATGTTCATATGATGAGAACTGTAGTTAGAACAAATTTCACAGGTCGAATTAGTAACTAACTGAAATATGACATAATTTATTTAGATAAAGTTATTTTGACAACTCTGGTAGAATACACGAGTTCCTTTCATATACATTTGCTTCTTTCAATAAGCCCCAAACCTCAAACCTCAAATTTGATTCCTACAGCTTAGGTGAAGACCATAGAACAACTAAGGAATGGACATTAACTGACTGATCAAGGCTCATAACTAGTAATTTTCACATAGAAATTTATACCTTAGCCCAGTAATTGTTACATAGGGTTTTTATGTTACAGGAGATAAAAAATTGCTAAATTGGCAAAGTATACTACAGGAAGAAAAATTTACCGCCTCTTGTTCCACCGGTGACGGCGACCACCTTACGGCAGATAACCGACAACGGCGTCTGCGACCAACTTATGGCAGATNTTGTAGCTTGTACTGTATGTGGCTGAAATTGGAGACTAGGAGCATATGTTTGTATACAAAAATTTCATTCACCTCAAAATCTAATTTAACTTTAACTCAATTTCAATATCATTTTAATTGAACTAGAGATTTTTAATTAAGCGCTAAAGACTTCTTAGAATTTTAAGTCTCGATTTATTTTTTTCCGGTTTGGTTCAGTTTTCGATTTTCGATTAAAAAAAACTTATGTTGATAAAAGACTTAGTCTTAGAATTTTCGATTTTTCAATTTTTCCGCCAGTTCGGTTTTCTATTTTAAGTCACGATTTATTTTCGATTTTTGATTAAAAAAAACTTAGGAATTTTTAAACTTATATTTGTTTTGGATTTTTTATAACTTTTTATATCATTTTAATTGTGAGAGTGAACAAGACCAAGATCAACATAATAAAAATACACTTTTCAACTAGTTGAAGAAGAAGTATTATTAAGCATGAAAATTTGATTGAAGTTTAATTGTTATTACTATATATATATTATTAAGTAATTTAAAGTTACTCAAATTATATATGAGTTAAAGTTGATATGTAAGATCTATGAACAAGACACATCTAATATTATAATGTGGTTCTTAATTCGGTTCGGTACGGTTCGGTTTAGAGAATGTTTAATGGTCAACGCATATTTTTCGGTTCTTAGTCGAACAAAAGCAAAGTCTGAAATGTCAACTTAAGAGCACTTAAGATAATATGACGCGATTGGATTGGACAAAGTTTTATATTTATCAATCTATATATATATATAAATAAATATATCAATATATATTTTTCGCCAACCATTGCTTGATCTGTCTGGTTAGGCTGCTCTTCCGACGAGTTCGAGGAGGCTACACCGAGCGATCTTCGCCTAAATCTGAGAATCACGAGGTGGTAGTGATGGCTTCGGGCGGGGGAGGTGCGAGGTGATTGGGCCGGCGGGCGCGTGAGTTGTCGGCCTGCGGCCGAGGCTTTGGCTCCCTATTCTCGTCACTAGCTTCCGTGAGTGGTCGTTCTGCTGAAGTCGGTAGAGGTGGAGGGTAGGGTGTTGGGCTCCGATCATCTGGGTTGTCCGTGGTGGCGTGCATATGAGGTTTAGGGTCATCGTTTCGAGTCGAGTTAGACTGGGAACAATTTATATGATCGGTCCGATTTGCTGTAATGAATCAGTTGCCAGCAAACCAATTAAAGACCAGTCAACGATCAGTTGAACCGGTCAACGACCGATAGAACTGGCCAAAATTAGGGCTGTTTTTCGAACCGAACGTTCACGAACAAAGCTCGTTCGAGTTCGTTCGTGTTCGATAACAGCTCGTTTGTTTAGCAATCGAACCGAACATGAACATAAAATTATGCTCGTTTAGTTATCTGTTCGCCTATATTTTTAAAGCTCAACCGCAAGTGTACGGCTTCGCTCGTAGTATGTGGCAAGCAAGGTCGTATCCCAAGAGACCAAATAATTAATATATCAAGTACAAGATTATGATAATGTCAACTTTATTTAGACGACCAAATATGAGATGGATTAACTAAACTAAGAAAATATAATTAAAGAGAAATAAAGCAACAAGAAGAAACTAGCTAGAAAAACACGTAAGAAGATGCATGAGAACGATAGATTCTAAGACTTTGGTTTCAATTAATAGTTGGGTTACTTCAAAAATATCACAACTAAATGGTTCCTTTATCTACCCTATTAGATGATCACAAATTTAGCTTATCGTCCCTCTCGAGATCGATAAAATCGTAGATTAAATCACATATATTAGCGTCTCCACTCAACACATGCAATTCAACTACAAATAGATTAAAAGATCTAATATCCTCACAACAACCTACTAATCTCTCGATTCAAGCAAGTAAATTGTGTCAAATATTAAAGACCTAATATTGAACTCATCTCTCGAATTATGAACAATATTGTCAAACATGTAAAAGCATTGATCAAGTGCTAAACATAAAACAAGAACAAAATATTTGAATAGGGTTCAAAAGAAAAACAATCAATTATAATAAATCATCTAAAATCCAACATATTAATCTACTACCAAGTCTTAGAATCAAATAAACTAGCCACTCATGTTTGAATTCAAATACATAGACATATTAGAAATCAACATGATCAATAAAAGTTCAAAAGGAAAGAAGAAAGAAAAACTAGGAATCTCGTCGATCTTTCAATCTTCTTGATCCCCTTGTGGTTGATCTTCTTTTGCTTCTCAATTGCTTCTCTTGTGTGTTCTAGGGCTCCTCCAATGTGTATTCACGTTCCTCCCTCAAAATAGCGTAAATATGCCTTTTATAATATCCAAAACCCTTCTCCTTTTCAAAATAGGTAAGATATAAAAAACAGCCTGCGCGCGCGACACGGCCATTCTGCCCGTGTCACGGTCCGTGTCGCAGCCCGTGTCAGGTCCCTGGGCTTCGAATTGTCTCTGTTGAGGTGACACGGCCTCTGACACGGGCATGGTGCCCGTGTCACTGCCCGTGTCACAATCCTGCTTGCTCGTTTTTGTCCGTTTCACTCGTTTCTTCCATTTTTCTCATCCGTGCATCAATCTATCATCATCCCGGGGGTCCTAGGTACTCACCATGCGCCTCCAATAGCCACGAGCGCTACAAATATGTGAAAATATCTACAAAACAAGCACGTGTAATACCTCTCCAACAAGATATAGAATTATAGCACAAATATGCAATTTATACACCAATAATGCAATGACTAAGCTCTAGATACTCAATAAATATGGTGTAAAATCACACATGAACAAACCCCCAAACTTAAACCATTGATAGTCCCGATCAATGCATCAAACTCCTACCAACACACAAGGAAAAACAATCACACTCTCAAAGTCAATCATACACATTCTCAATATGCATCGGNCNNNT